AAGCTGGAAGCATGTCGAGGCCTCGGAGTCTTTAGGATTTTAGGGGTTAGGGGGTTTAGGGTTTAGGGGGTTAGGGTTTAGGGTTTAGGGTTTAGGGGGTTAGGGGGTTAGGGGGTTAGGGTTTAGGGTTTAGGGGTCTAGGGGTTTAGGGTTTAAGGTTTGGGGGGGTGAGGGTTTAGGGCTTAGGGTCAGGTAACAGAATGGCCCAAAACTACCAAAAGCTTGATCAAAACAACAACATGTGAAGATCCAGCATCTGGATGCCCTGGGTTCTGCCTGGGTATGTGGCCGAGACGTGTCTGTACACGTCCCCCAAGTACTGGAGTCCTTTTGTATTGGAAATCTCAGGCACCTAAACCCCAAATCCTAAATCCTGAACCTTTGTTACGAAGGCGGGAGTACATTTTGTTGACTCCGCATGTCTTTGAGAAGTCTTAAGCACTTGCAGGGCTCTGGGTACGAAGCGGCGGTTGTGGACTTTGAGTTTTCCGGCCCCGGCTTCGTCGCTGCTGGGGGGCCCAGTGCCACATAGCGATTACTGATGGTCCAAATCATGCTGCTGGATCAAGCCGTCTTTACTTGCTGAGATGATGAAATGTCTGCATTGCTAACTCCTTCCCTTGTCAAGTTAGGTTAGGGCTCAGGATTATGCAGGCTGCCTTGAAGGAGATCAACAGATATCTCTGCCCCTCCTCTAGTCTTTCGAAGCTCGGGCGCGTGATGTTTGAACGAATTCGAACATGGTCCAGGCCAAGGGTATCAAGGCTCGGCGGTGTGAACAACCAAGGCCCCTTACCACTGATACAAATAAAGCGTTTGTTTCTTTTTGGACATACGACATTGTTATGCCTCAACTCGAATTCCGCCGGCAAGACATCAGAGTTGACATCCTGAATCGATTAGGCTAGCCCAGGGTGCCGAAGTCTGCATCCATACCACAGCGAGATTCGGTGAGCCATCGTGTTTTGGGCAGCAGGGTTTTCAGATCCCCTTGGCACCTTTACACCTCTTATGTGCCAAACCTAAACCCCACAACCTCACCCTAAACCCGTTTTTGAGGTTGACCTCGCCAACTTCCTCTTCCCAGACCTGAAGATGGACTGAGCTCAGGTCATGTTGTCGAAGGCATACAGTGAAAGTGCTTCGTGTGGCCCCTAGATAATGTAGAGGACGCCCAAGAAAGTGGCCATCATAAGGCAAAAGCAAAAAGCAGCCTGAATGGTTTCTAGCAGTATCCCGCACCCCCAAACCTTAAACCCTAAACCCCTAGACCCCCAAACCCTAAACCCTAACCCCCTAACCCCCTAACCCCCTAACCCCCTAAATCCTAAACCCTACTTTGGGGTCGTAGGTACTAACCCTGGATTCATCCTTGGGCTCCTGGAGCTTACGGGCGTCAGGGCCTCAACGGGCCTGTCATGATTCAACTATCCCTACAGCTCTCCAAATAGCCCAAAATTAGGGGTACCTACTATAATGGAGAATCAAATGGAAAAGAAAATGGAAAATGAAATGGAAACTGTGTTTATGTAAAAAATTATAGGGATTAGG